ATATCTCCCCTACGGCAGCTTGAGAGATTACCTCATCAAACACAAAGGCCACTTTGATTCCAAGAAACTGCTACACTACGCATCACAGATTTGCAAGGTAATGTAGTGCAGTAGGTGGTGCAGCCTTTAAAGACTAACCCCTCCTTGGCTTACAGTACATACACATTGGTGTACTGAACATTTGAAATATTTGTTTCTGAAGCTGCAGTCCAACGTAACTAGCATGTAAAAGATTAAAATCCAGTCAAAGGTTAAAACCCAGCCTTGGATCTTTGTCTTTAACATCTTTCCTGTATTTGATGCCACTGAAGTCGACTGCTGGATCAGAGTTGATAGGGAGATGTAGGAAACATTTTTGTACCTGGTTGTAAATGTGTTTATTTTTGCTGTAAGGTTGGGCATTTTAATATGGGGCCTTATGGAGACCATTCACTGCTGTCGCTGGCCTCAGCTGGCCATTTGAGGAACTGCAATTTTTTAAAACTGTTGGGTTTATTTGCCAGCTACAGAGGCTGCCACCTGTACAGCACTGAGCAATAATATGTTTAGAAGTTTGTTGATTTTTATGTAGTTTTGAAGAATACAGTGGCTTAGTGGGTGGGAAACCAAAAAATCTGTGTATATATATGTGTTGGTATATTAATCAGTATATGTGTGATATTTTCCTTTTTCTGTGTGTCTATATTTATACTTCAGGGTATGGACTACCTTGCCCTTAAGCGATACATCCACAGAGACCTGGCCACCCGAAACATTCTGGTGGAGAGCGAGATGAGGGTGAAAATCGGTGACTTTGGCCTGACCAAGGTTTTGCCGCAGGGCAAGGACTACTACACTGTCAGGGAGCCTGGGGAAAGCCCCATCTTTTGGTGAGGAAGACACATGTTTCTGCATGTGCAAGACATATTTTCCTATTTTTGTGGGTAGACTTTCATAAAGATGAAAACAGTCTTTAAAGATGTTTTTGACTAGCTTATCTACAGTTGTGGTAAGTATAGTAACCCTTTGTGACTGATCTTTAACCACCGGCATCAAAATTAACACGAGGAGGAAAATATGGTTTGTTTTTGTACATCGAGACCGTGTGCGCTTACTTCATATCTGTCTTCTTGTAATGTAAGATTAGTGTTGGCCCTTTGAAGATGTGTGCATCATTACGTATACGTATGTTATCTACTATATGTATAATGTGTTGTGGTATTTCCAGGTATGCTCCAGAGTCGCTGACAGAGAGCAAGTTCTCGGTGGCATCAGATGTTTGGAGTTTTGGTGTTGTCCTCTACGAACTCTACACGTACAGCGACAAGAACTGCAGCCCACCAGCGGTACTGCACTTCTTTAGTTTTCTTAGTTTGACCATTTAACTTTTCAGTTTTTTTAACTGCTTTAATTTAATTTCTCAATTATTCTTAATTGTCAACTCTCCGACTAACTTAAGTGAGCCATAAAACAATGACCAGAGTAATTACTTTGTAGTGTTGTTAAAGAAATCAGTTAATTGAGCACTCAAGGACAGGAAACACTTCTGATTGGGGCAGTTTTAATTTTGGGAAGCTGTTTTCACTAAAGCCAAACACAAATGTCTTATTTTCTGTTCCAGGTGTTTATGGACAAGATGGGGAATGAAAAGCAGGGCCAGATGATTGTCTACCATCTCATAGACCTCCTGAAACAGGGATATAGGTTGCCTGCTCCTGATGATTGTCCAAAGGAGGTCAGTAAATCTGTAACGTTCATCAAACTGTCTCTCAGTACAGTACTTGTCAAATTAAACAGACCAGGGTCTTGTTTCATAAATTCATGAATGTACCAACTAAGGTTTAAAGTGAAAACCCCACTAGTTTTCTGTGTTGCATGAATGGAAAGGGAAGTTAAAAACTTACCAGGGCAAACACAGTGAGAATAAATAAAATATTATTCTTAGCCCTAAGCAATAAAGGGCACCGTGTCATATCATAAAGAATGATACAGAGAACCCTATCATTGCAAAAATATATTTTAAAATGTAAAAAGAAAAAATCCACCCTGGCTGCTTACATGACTGTGAAACTAGCTACTTTCTGTGTAATATATATCTGTGTTCTCTGTGCTTCTATCTGTGTTAACTTTCTCGTTCTGATGCTTCCTTCAGATTCACAATATCATGACAGAGTGCTGGAACAGTGAACCGAGACTGCGCCCTACTTTCAAGACATTAATTCACAGTGTGGAGACCGTACGTGACAGCCTGGCCGGATGAACGGCATTGATCCCTGAACCTTTGACCTTTAGGTGTTGGCTCCCAGTAGTCAGTCCTCACATATCCTAACAGAACAATGAATGTCTCTGTGATGTCTGCGTTTACTGCAGTGATTCAGTCACTGGTCTTCAGTACACAGTATGTTGTTTTTTTTTCTTTTGGTGCTCTGCTGATGAAGACTTTTCTTAGCAGTTCTTTCTACATCACAGGAAGTATACAAATGATCTGATTAGTTCCTACACTACATCTATCACACACCAAACAAAAGATTATTTCTGATGCCTTTAAGAATATTTTATTATGGGCTAAATTATATTCTTTGTGTTATCTTTACAAGTTGTGTTTTACAAATTGAAATGTTCTAATAAGATTTTCTCCACTTTAAGTAATGTGTGCATAGGCACCAAAAAATGTAGAGCTCGCCAACAAGCAGCATTTTGTTGTGCAGGTCTTTTTTTATGTTTTAAAATTAGCAGCAGCTCATTTTGTTCAACCAAAGAGGCCATGGGATTCCCAACAGACTGTTACTTCACTGCTCATGTGTGGCCAAACTTTTCAGAAGGACTGGAACTGAGCAAGGTTCCTCCTGTTGACCACCTGAGTCTTAAGACTGATAAAAGGACAGACCATAAATGTAAAGCACCAGCAGCACGTGTGATACAGATGGACCCGCTGTGAACATGTCTACAAGTGGTTCCGCGTCCTGTTTCTGCGGTCTCACTGGACTTTACAGATATTCATTGCACATCAAGGATGATTCTGTGTTTTTATCGAGTGGTGTTGGTTCGCTACGACTACACATCTTTCCTCACTATAGAAGTCAGACTCAACACAACGCCTGTTATTTGTTTACATCACTTAATGCAATGTGGAAACAATGAAATACATTAGCAATAACTGCTCATGAATCTCTCTGAGAAACGGGTGTCTCGTAGTGTCATATCATGAACTCGTACAGTATTGTTGTTTTGGAAGGAATCAAGCTCTTGAAATTATGATACTGTCTTTGTAATTACTCACCTGTATATATTTTATAAAACATGTATGATGTTTTGAATGTTACAAGGCTCTACTATCTGCCTGCAGATAGCTAATGGGGAAAGTTGAACAGTTGAACTGAAGGTGGACAGTGATAAAGGGAGATGTTTTTATTGTCTGCAGTAGACTGTTGCAAGCCACGATATTATTTAAAAACTTATTTGACCTTTGTTACATCCATTTGAAGGTATACATGTGTATCTTGAATATTGCATATGTGTTATGCTGTGCATTACATTATCATTAGTGGTCACAAGGGGATTTTTGTTATTTATATTTGAATGTTTAAAACTTGTACCTAATGTTACAGACAGGAGGGGATGGAACAGCATCTGTTTTTTAAACTTTACCTCTTCTCTTCTCAAAAATCCACCTTTCCAGGGTTGTTTTATGCCATAAAAGGCAGACCATACAAACACAGACACACAAAATGTCAAAGGATTCATGCCCTCTCACATAGCGAAGAATGAATCACTGTAAAAAGCAAAGTTTTGTCATTTATAAAGAGTGTGCCTGTAAGCTCCCACACCCTAACATCTGGGCAGCAGGCTGTTTATACCGGTCATTTCATCCATTTTTATAATATAATGTCCAGTCTGTTGTGAATAAGAGAGAGGAAAATATTGCATCCTAACGGGTTGTGTTGTTTACTCATACAACTATTATGTGATATACGTGCATTAGTGTTTGAGACCAAATATGATTATTCTGTGTTTTTTATCCAAAGATTTTCAGAAAGAGACGAGGATGTTTAACCAGATTAAAGTGGTCGTCTTTCACATTTATTTTGAGTTTTTTGGTTCGTTGCAGTTGAAAGTCAAACCTGGTTTTGTCATCTGATGAAAACATGCAGCTACCTTTAATACATTTGTGTACATAGATGTAAATATTGAAAGATGAATATTTAGTATATTCCAGGTTTGTATATAATTTTATTAAACAAAACTTACTGTCGTGCTGTGGACACGAAAATTGTTCTTTGTGTTTATCTGAATGTGGCTTGCTATTCATAAAGCTTCATTTTTAAAAAAAAAAAATTTAAACATAACACATAAATGTTATTTCTACATTTAGACCAAAATGTGGTTTTGGGGTTTTGTGCAGGAGGTTAAATGTATGTTTAAGCTTTGCCAGAAAGGGTTAAAAGAACAAAAAAAAAAAATCTTTCGCAGTTGTGTCCTCAGGGTGTTGACAGAAAATGTTCGGGCAGGCGTAATGTTGTGAACAGAGGCCAGCAATAAGTTCACGGCAGCCTAAATGACATTAATGTGCGATATTGGCCAGTGCTTGTATGAACCTTGTTTAATCGGGATAGTCTGCAGGCGAGAACGCGGACGCTGCTTTAATGCTCCAAATCCTTTCAGCCCATATAGATGAGTGTTGTATGTGTGAATATATGATACTGCTCAACGTTTCATATTAACACAGTATTGAAAATTTATTCTCAGTATTGACATACAGTACATGAGGCTTTTGAAACAAAATATCAAACAAGTGAGGAGAATAAAGAAAATATTATGACAGACATGAAGTTAGAGTGATGTGTTGAGTCTTTGTAATTCATTGGTTATCACTATGTTTTGTATATTCTATAAGACATGAGTGGGAATAGCTACTGTACATTACCACCCATCACATCCTCTTCACGTCACGCCCCCTCTGCCATCGCCCATCTCTTCTCCTCACCCTCCCTCCTCCCCTCCCCCGCCCTCGCCTCCCTGCCTCAGCACAAGCGTCCGATGTCATTTTTGGTACACCCCTGGTTACAGCACTTCCCCGCCACACCCAGAGAAAAGTTCCTCTTCCTCTTGCTCGGTATGGGCCAGTTAGCAGCGGCTGGACTCCCGTCTCGCTCGGCCGTGGACGGCTGCGACGTCTCGAGCAGGGCTGGGTCACTCAGCGACTGCTGCTGCCCGTATAGGGCCAGGAGGTCTGCCAGGGAGTAAGCGGAGGCAATACGGAAAGGAGAGGGGTTATCTGTGATCTCTGCGCCGGGTTGCCAGGTGTGCTGGTTGTCCTCCACTGTAACGTCACTGAGGGAACTCCACTGGAAGGGATCTGGAGACAGAAAAAGGACAGATACATAATAAATAATAGCTTATTGTACATCAAACACACTTTCACTCACACTAAAAAACAAACAGGGAGATCACAATATGTTAATAAAAGATGAATTTTGGAAGACTAAAACACAGGAATGATGGTAATGACTCACTTTAAGGTTTTTTTATGTTATAACCAATTACCGATGACCATGAGCTGACCGTGGTGCTGAAATACGAGGCTGTCAATTAGCTGTTGGACTGAAATGTGGGGGTAACTGATTAAAACCCTTCTGATGTGTAGTAACTCACCATCTAACAAGTGCTCTGTAGAAATGTACTAATGAAGAAAGAAATCAATTACAGTTCGTCGCCTGTGCACCATCTGAAACGATCATCTTCAACCCAACTGAGAAATATATTTGTCACACCACACACTGGCTGCATCTGAATAGACTTGAAGACACGTTTTAACATAAATAAAGTAGATTTTCCAATCACTCTTGTAAATACTTTGTTTTGTTGCCTGTTACTGCTATTTTTAGATATACACTTCTCCAATTAGCGTGCACAAATTAGGCAATTAACAAGAGTGCGGTAATGTTAACTCACCTAAGTCCCCCTCTGTGGACCGTCTCCACCGGGAGCCGCCGCAGGTGAAAATCACTGCTCGGATGAACTCTCTCCCGCACAGTTTCACCCCGTAGTCCCTCGGAAGGATCAGCCTGCTCATCAGGTCAGCCTGCACACAGTTGCATATGCCACCGACACACACCACAGCCACGGCAAGAGTCAATCTCCAGAGCATTTTTCACCTGTCCTGACACTTAACGGCTGTTTTGCGCTGCGCAGGAGGGTCAAGCTGAGCTCCACTTCAGATCTGATCAGATCTCTGCTTCCAATCCTGCTGGTTTCCTGGTGGTTTTTCTATTTTTCTGCTTTGGAGAATTCTGTTGCAGCCTTTTGAGCCAAATGCTGAAGTTGTAAAAGATGCTTCTCTTGGGTTGCAGAGCGGACTTTGGTTTCCTCTTCTCGTTCTCTCCGTAGTCGTCTTAACTTATGCGTTCAACCCCAGCCCTCTCCCTCCCACTCCCTCCTTCTCCCTCTGACATACGCACGTCATTTAGATTGATGACAATGACGTACTTGGAGTTATTTCTTTATTGTATTAATATCAGGAAAATGTTTTTGTGTGAAGTGTGAGTGTGCACATTACTCACACAATAGTTTAAGTGATTATTTGGAGACAAACTATATGAAGGCATGCATGACGTCCTGTGGAAATTAGGGTTATAAGTGGTTTAGGCTTCTGAACAAAACACACGGGTATAGAAGTTATTGGTTTTGGAGATTTACATCACAGTGCCACATTATTACAAAAGACAATTAGATAAGAGAAAGCAATATTTCTGTTTATTGGATTTATAAATATAGTTTCCATGATGTCAAACGAAAGTTAAAACGATTGTAAATACAGAATGCATAAATATTAGTGCCTCGTAATATTTTAAATCCACTGAAAACTACTGTGATAATAAAAATAAAAGTTACAGGTGCACCAGTGCTAACTACAGCTTTGGCATAAAGCTCCTTAGCACTAAAATTCAACCTTAGCAAATGAACAGGTTGAGGGAATTACAATCTTCTGCTGTCACAAATATCCAATATGTGTCTCTGTTAATAGAACTAGAGCTAAAAGCATTTAAATATTGCATTTGTACGTGTCAGACAGCCAGTAAATATACGCCAATGAGATTTTCATGTTGCTTTGTGTCCGCATGTAGGCAACTGTTTGCTAAAACATGACCTCGTTAAGCTCAGACTTTGTAAGGCTTATGTTACTGTGAGTGTGTTTAAGAGTCTTTATGCCCTCTAGTGGTCAAACATCCCTTCCTGCAACTTTAACTAAGAACATAATTAACAATACACATAAAACAATTTGTTGAGACATACTGTACGCAGTGTCCAAACTCCATACTACATAATGAGTCTATGCTGCTTTTTAACAGGCCGGAAAAGTGACAAAATAAAGTATACACAAACCATGCAGCATGCAAACTAAATTTACCATTTTTGAGTGCATTAGTAATGCACAAAGTTGAAAAATAAATAAATAAATAATTTGTAAATGCTGGTGAAACAGCTCCAAAAAATCTTTGAGAAACAAAACAAAATAATTAAAATCAAAATAGCAAAAACATTTTGGTGTCTTTTTATGAAGTTTAATTGGCAGTATCTTCTCATGATTGATTGACATCCGTTATGTACTGTGTAATTTCCTGTAGTTTAAAAGTATGTTGGTATTTTTGTGTACCAAGTGGTAAAGTATTATACCACGATACATATTTAGTACATACTGTAAAGATTTAGTATGTAGACTGAATTTGGGACACAGCTATTGTCTCAGTGTGCTTTAGTCTCCGAGTGGATTATGTTACAATGGTTAAATGAAATCAATACAAATGTAGATTTTTTATGACACACTACAGTACTGACAGTGTACCGACAGTAACTAACTCAAGTATTTTTATTGGCATTTTGCATCTGATATAAATAAAGCACAAAGTGCTTGGCTACTGATGCACCTCTAATAATTACCACAAAAACAACATCATTATTTCATATTCATTAATATTGAGACTAATTTGAGTTGACGTCCATGATACATAATTAGTGCAAACCATAGACTCAATAACGTCAAAAAAGGCAGTTGATAAACATTTTTTCCATAATTAAGCAAAAGCAGATCGGGTGAATGCGTCGGCTGGACGATTATGATTTTGTCTCAAATCAACACATCATTTCTCCAGGAGGGAGCTGAGGCTGCTTCGAGCGCGGCGGACCTTCTCTATGCTATCGAAACTTGGAGTCCCTTGAGGCATGTCCAGACGGTCGTGTTCAGATGCCATGATACTCTCAGCCTCCCCTAAAAGGTACAATGGGGAAAAGAATTGGCTTAACATAATCGTATTATAGCTGTTTTTTGTCTGTTAGTTTTAGTATGTGTACATACACCAATCAGCCATAGCACTAGGACCACTGGTGACGTCAGTAACACTGATTATCTCGCTATCATCAAAGCTGATGTGTTGGGCAGCGTGAGGATTTGAGCGACTTTGACAAGGGCCACATTGTGATGGCTAGACGACTGGGTCAGAGCATCTCCAAAACTGCAGCTCTTGTGGGGTGTTCCCGGTCTGCAGTGACGTCCAGTACCGCATCAAAGTGTTCCAAGCGAAGGAAAGCGTTGAACCGGAAGACATGGGGCCGCCAAGCTCACTGATGCACGTGGGGAGCGAAGGCTGGCCTGTGTGGTCGGATCCAACAGAGAGCTACTATACGGGCTCAAACTGCTGAAAGAGCTAATGCTGGTTCTGATGAAAGTGTGCAGAACACGTACGGCTGCGTAAGGTAAAAACATAATGACCACCCGGGCAGCCGCTGGTGGTCATAACGTTATGTTGATCGTGGTATGCATCTGTTGGTAATACCGCACCCCCCAAAATATAACTGGCTGGAGGATTAGTTATAAATTAACAGAAACGTTATGTCTCGTATGTCTATCTGTCAGCATGTTTGAAAAATATTTAACTATACGTAGCAGTAGAGTGGGACT